ATTTTTTCTAAAAGAAAAAAACATAAAAAACGTGATGCAGTTGCGAATATTTTCAAATTAAACAAAATATGATGTCAATATTTTTTAATTTGTTTTGCATATTATCGAACATGCAGTCAATAACAACCAATAGATAATGTGTTACTATTTCAACCCTAACTAAAAATTAACAAAATGGAAAGCAATTTCCTCAAATTATACTGAAAACAGAGTTTGTCAGATTTGTGACTAGATCTAGTCGTATTATGAAATTAAAAGCAAACTTTATGGTAAAATAATCGCGGAAGCATTATGGACGTTATTAAAAAAAATGACTATGTTGATTATACCTAACCAATTCTTTTTTTAAACAAATTCTTATCAAAATAGAAGTAAAAATATTGTTTTGTTTTTTAAATTAGAAAACATTTGTTCCACTGTAATAATTAAGCAATTTTCGAAAAAATATAAATTGAGATTATAAGAAATAAGCCAGTTTCATTCTTCACGCTGTAATTATTTTTCGAGTCAGGTGCAGTTTTTCAAACGGCAATTAAATCGAAATCATCATAATTGAGTTTCAAAAACGTGATATTCTCCCCACATAAAAAATATATATTTTTTCATTGCAAACCGTTGATGGAAGTTTTACAGGAATTAATGACAATTCTGCTTAATTTAGAGCTTGTCCATTTATTGCGGTTTTCATATAGCGGTTAATAATTTGAAAAAAGCCATTTGTGTTTGTGTTAAAATAATTGTTTGATATTTTCGTTGAATTTCTCAATTTTGTTACCATCTGTGCCTTTTGCAATCAACCACAGCCTTTTTTCACCTAAATATTTTAAATTCAAATTTGTTGTAGTAACTTACAGACTTGCTTTTTTAACAACACTGGCATGCTTTTACTAAACTTACGTAAAGATTATTTTGATAAATGCCTATAAAATAACAATAAATCAACGTGGAACGTGATCGGATGAATAAATTGATATGTGAGTACCATTTATTTCTCAACGTTACGTCAAAATGAAATGAATTTCAAAATTACATTTAAATATTCCAAGAATTAGTCGAGTGAAATATGCCGAGAGAAAATTCTACAATATGATTGCAAAATACTCAAAAGACAAGAGACCACCCGGTAAATGGAAACAGTGCAAAAAAAACATGACGTATGTAAAGAGATAATTGAATTTATTAGTCTTGCACAAAGCCATTAACACCGCAAGGAACATAGTGTCTTGTTAGTGCCTTTTTCTAAGGTAGAATGAAATTTATTTAATTGATGGGAGACAACAGAATATTATTTACGAGTTTATAATCTGATTTATCATTATGGCGATCTAATTGAGAAATAAATTTGATCAAAATTTACCATTTTTGAGACATATAGTTTTAATACAATGAAAAAAAAATCCTAAATCAACACATTTTGCATTTTGCAATTTTTAAATTAAATAAGCTATTTTAAATACACTTAGGTAACTCCTTCTAATTTCTGTAAGTCCAAGTTTTTATTCAATCTAGGTTTTTATTTAATCAATCAATCAACACCTTGATTTGTGTTTTTAAAATGTATATTAGGTCGTTGCATAAGAAAATCGCCGTTTTCTAAAAGAAAATGTATTTGAAAATTAGTAGAAAAATTTTATTGTTATACCTACACCACTTAAAGAAAAGATTTGCCTTTGACGATTGTTACCTCTTTCAACTGGTAAATTTTTGTGTAAAGAATTTATAACAATTTCAACTTTTGATTCTTTGTGGGTTAAAGCTGAAGATATGAAAAACAAGCAAAAACATCAATGTTTATAGGTCTCTTGTCTCCAAAAAGTCACTGTAGACAACCAACTAAAATCTTTTGTTAAATTTGATACTATATGAAAGACAAATCACTATGCATGAAAATTTATTCCTAAATCAGACTTTCTTAGGGTTGCATTTTCTTTAAACCTAAAGGGTTTCCTCGGACCCAAAAATTAGGTAAGTACTAGAAATTATCATCGACCAACTGTTTTTTTTTTTCAAAAATTTTGTATACTTTGTTCATATTCAAATCACTAACTCTCCATATTGTAAGAATAATGATAAAAATTTATTCAAAAAGCAGTCTTTATTAAAACTTAATATCATGCATTTCCTTTAAAACTTAAACAAAATCCATTTTATTCATAAAAAAAATGTCCAAGAAAAAGAAGCTGTCAGAAATGCTTCAATATTTTTTTACTACTAGAAATCCACACTTTTTTAATAATAAAATTCATTCGAAGTAAAAAACAGACTTCATACATAATTTAATGAATCGACACCAACAAAAATATACTGACCGGCACAAAAACATTTTTCTATATGTAATTTATAAAAAAACGTTTATTACAGCACATCAAGAATATACAGGGTGCGTCAGAACTCGCGCAAGTAAAATAAGATACTATGAACATAGAAAAAAAGTTAAATCTGTCAAAAAAATTTGACACTTGACTATTTAATGAAACTGATGATCTTGTATATATGTTTTTTTTTATAATTATTTAGTAAAGGTACAAAAATTTTGCCAGTTAAAGCCACAAATAACATTAAACAGAGTTACAATTTACCATACAGCTTACTTTTTTCCTCTTCTAATAGCCTGTAGAAAATAAAACTTGGAAAATTATTTCTCCAACAGAAATAGAGTGCAAATTTAAACTCTCATAACTTCCAAATTTTTATAGATAGAATTTTTTAACATTTTTTCCATGTTCCTGGTATCTTACTTTACATGGCATTTTTCTCTGGGGCACGAGTTCTGGAACACCTCTACACAGACTATCCTTATTTAAACTTTCTATTTCGTGTAATACAGGGTGTTTATGGTCTTGGAGTTAAAAATTATAGTATAGCCGACAAAGAAAAACTCACAGAAAAGTGGAATTTAATAATGTTAATTAATTAATGAGTCCCTGGACTTAAGAAATCACTTTATAGTTTTGACACTGTCAATAATTGATTTGGTTTTGCCTTAGTTTTTATCAAAATTCGAAGATATCTGTTTAATCACTTCTAATGAAATGGTTTCCAATAAGTTTGATTTGATTTTTTTTTTGACTTTTTTTCAAATTTATGATCATGGATCGTTGAAATAGTAAATTCGTTGTCGTAATTATGATTTACGGTGAAGCACAAGGTAATGACACTAATAGCGATTGCAGTACCTGAAGCTGCAATTCTCAAACAAATAATTCAAAACTAATTGTTTCATAAGGTAAATTTTTATTTTATACAGGTTGTGTCTTAAAACTCGCGCTTAGAGAAAAATGTCACGTGCCGACGGCAATACGTTACTAAAAAATAAAACCGAAAAATTTACTTCTGCTTGCCTAACAAAGTTGCTAAACGTTAAAAACCACTAATCTCAGAATATTACTAAAAAATTAAGCTGACTTCTAGTTTCAGTTTACCCTCAAATTTCCCTTTAAGTTGCAATAAATATCTGGCTTACTGTAATTTTGACCGTATTTAATTTGCTTTTACTGTCAACAGTGGTGTTATTAGATCAACACGCTATAACACAGTAATCTACTTGTTGCAGATGCTGGACATGGTATAATTATTGATAACTTTCAAAATTCGATATTAAAAGTTTTAAAAATTCCCAATAAATCTCCCATTTTCTCAAATATCTCCAGTACCATCTTCAGTAAAAAAGCATTATTTAGAAATAACTTCTTCTAGCTCAATTCTTTTTGATTTGATATAAAATTCCGGTCTATAGTTGGAATTTCTTTCAGCATTACATTATGATTACATTTTTATTGAAAACTTACGAAAAATACTCGTTGTCTCGCTGAGCATCGTAGAAAGTATTGTTACATGATTACATTGTAAAATTTAATTTCACAAAAGTCTGACACTAACATTAAAAACAAATTAAAAGTGTTAAAATTATGCAGTAAGCCAGACATTTTTTTTTAATTTGCAGGCAGAATGGTATTATTTTTGAAAATAAGCAAGTGATGTCATTTTGCAGTAACACCTCGAGTTGCCCTTCTGGGGTTGATGGATTTAAAAGTCTAGCAATTTTGTTATGCACACAAAGTCCTGGGACCCATTGTATAACGTTTAGTTTTTTATTAATTACTGAATATGTAATCTATTTTTTTTTAATTTCAACCACAAGACCGTCAACATTCTGTATACATTTGCTTAGCTTATTTTCCAACATGTTTTAATAAAAAATAATCGGACTTCAGTAACTTTTAGATACTTCAAAAAGTCGTTTAACATGTTAACTCAGTTGTTAATTCCTAATTTTACCCCGTCTCTTGTGTTTCATTACCAAAAACAATCAAAAAGTGCCTTTATCCTCTGAAGATTCCGCCAGGAATTGCCACAAGAACCCGCAGAGCTCGAGTAAGAATTGCCAATGGCAACACGTTTCAGAAAAGTACAGTCAAATAATTTTCTAATTTATCGAACTCTTGTGTGGTCTTCAACGGATTATGTTTTAACGTTTCACAAACAGAAACCAAAATTCCTTGTAATTCAGTAAAAGACAAAAATAATTCCCACTACAAAATTAAAATAATCTTTAAAAAAAATTAAAACCTAGCTGAAAATAACTAGTATAACTCTCAGGAGTCATTACCAGTAAGAAAATCCCACATTTATTACCGTATTGATTTACCAATAGTCAACAATAAATTTAGTTTCGAAAATTTTTTTCTCGTCATGCTTCTGCTAAAATTCAACAAAACATCTTTGAAAATAAACATGTAAATCATGTTTTAATATACTCTTTGTGTCACACAACTTAACACTACTTGAACCTCCCCTTGGCCAATCCAAAGCCGTCTTTAATAACCCCAAGTTGAAAAAAAAAATTGTATTTCCTCAAAAAACTCGCGACCAATTACACATCATTACAGTCATTACCTTCCTCTATAATTATCCATAAAAATCTCATTTTGCGTCTTTTTCCCCAATTCATAGAACGTTCCGGTGCCTCAATTGCGTTGTTACCAATTCCCTCCCCTTACCTTTCTCAACCTCCTCAAAAACCTCACCAAAATCACTCCACATAACCACGGCACTGTTTTAATCGACGCAACGGCCGTCTCAACCCGACATTTTGTAATGTTTTTCGACGAACGAACCAATCAAAGAGTCGAGCGCGTGCATTCCAAACGGTGCAGTTGAATATAACTACAACGAGGAGACGTGGATCGACGATGACCATGGCGTTGCAGCCAGCGACCCCTGCACTGTCTAGATGGAATCGTCGTCGTTTTTTCCTGGGGGCCGTCGTCGTCGTTACCGCCATGGTCATGGGGGCACCGAGACACCGAGCCATTCTCGAGGGTGCAACTGCGAACATGGCCGAGTCGGAGGACGCTCGTGCACTAAATATTGATCTAGATTTGAGGGGAAAACTGCAGCGACGACGCCGATGCAAGCGTCTCTACAACTGCACCCGACAGGGGAGGAAGTTTTTCCGGCGACGGCGGCAGCGTCGCCACGGTGACGGATTCAAAATCAAATGCTAGAGACGAAGAGGACCCGGAAGTATATGGGTTACTAACATTTTTGGACTTTTTTTCGATTACAAACAAAAAAAACCCAAAACTTTGACATTTTTATTTTGTGGACATGAAGATTAAAAAACTGAATGAACAAAACAAAGCCTTATCTACTTCAGACAACACAATTCATACATCGTAATAAATAATAAATAAAAAAATTCTTGGAAATATTGTACAGATGAAAGACCAAAGATAATAAATTAAAACCGTCACAAATGAAAATGTTGCTTGAAAGTTTTCCCGGTACATCACAAGCAGAGAAATAGAAGGAAAAATTGACTCAACAAAAAAATAAGTCGGTCAAAATTCAAGAGTAAAAACTATAAAAAAGAATAACCTTATTTTTTTGAAATATAAATTTTTGGCCTCCTAACCTGTAAACGATATCATACGTTTGACAACTATGAAATAGTAGATTACATACCGAGGTGGGAGGTGGTTCATTACCAAGGCGCAATAAGCCGACTACCAAGGTTTGTACAGGGTGTTTCATATAACTTTACGAGGCTTGCGCCTAATGTACGCACCCAAATATACAAAAGTCACAAAACACTGTATACAAAAAATACACATTTAATTATTTAATTTTTGGAGACCCATGACAGTAGTTGTCAAACTAATCACTGTTTCATTAATAGTCATAAACTGCAGTTTTTCAGAAACAATTATCATTTGTTCTATCAAGAGATGGCATGAATATAATTCTAGTTTATCTATCTTAATCACTAACTAACTAAAAACGTTATAATTTTTGAAAGGGTGAACAAACTAGAGAAGATTATCCAATTTTTCGAAATTTGTAATCGAGTTCGTATCGGAATATGTATTATTGATTGCATCTTACAGGGCAGGCCTCGTAAAATTATGTGAAACACCCTGTATACTATAAAATGAAGAAGTTGAAATGTCATACGTTCCAACTTATCACATGCAACGTAATTCGATTATTACTGCATGATTGTGAATAAAAACGTGTTTCACGTGTTTATAAAATATATCCTTTTGTATATCCAAACTTAATTATTAAAATGCCATTTGACATTTTAATAATGTTGTGTTAACCATTTTAAACGGCTCAATTATTAACACACTCCTGTGTCAAATTCACTTGGCTCTGTATAAAATGTAAGGTAGTTACCAGAAGCGAATGTAAATAACTATTTACTTTGTTTATATTTCTAAATGTATCTACATTTTCTTCAGCAATTGTTTCTATTTTTTCAGTAATAATAAGAACAATAAAATTAGCAAGAGTAAACAGCAAGAAATTGAGTTTTCGTAAAAATTCTAGATCCATTAGTAGGTATAAATTCCAACATCAAAAAATTCAATTTCTTTGTGTTTACATCATCGGAATTTTAATGCTTAAAAAATGACCATGTATATATTTATACATACATCCTATGGGACGCGAGTTCTGGCGCAGCCTGTATACCTCTAAATTTAATTCAAAACAAACATTTTGTTCTGATAGCTAAAATCTAAGCAAAATAGTTATCTTTGTTGCAAGTACCCAAAATACAATTTGGCGGACGAACCGATGCGAGGCGAAGCCGAGTCTGGAATAGCAGATAAATCCGGAAAACTTTTTAGGTACGTGTCACAAACATTTTTTTCTTCAAACTCTTAAAACACAATAAAACCTTTTATTGTGTCTGATTAATTTCTCGAAAATAGTAGTGAAAAATAAAAAATAGTACCTAAAATAAGCGCTTTACGTACTATTTTATTGAGTCCGAAAAAAAACTCATTTTAGGGAGCCCGTAAAATTGTTATTTTTGTATATAGCGTATACAAAAATACAAGTTTAAGTTTCTGCTATATTTATTTAGCGCTTTAATTGTATTACAAACAAGAAATTAGAACAACAAAATGTAAAAGCCTTCCGTATACTGTACTCCATTTACTGTTTACTTATTAGTTGACTGCAGGTTATAAATTGCAAAATTGAATTTCTGATCAACTACCGAAATTGATGAAAACACAAAGGTAATTAAGTAATTATTAAGTACATTAACGGTCATTGTTTTCTCATATGGAATTAAATAAGAAATAAATTTCACTTTGTAATTTTACTTTACCTTTTCTTCCATATATCTACATCAATGTTCTTTCAGTTGTCACATAAATCACCTTGATAAATAAAATAATGAATAATTAATTTCACCTGATTTTTTCATAATACCAATCTTCTCAAAGTCCACTTTCATTATTCTATTCAATAAAGAAAAATCATAATAAACGCTCCAATTAACAAATTAAAAACCATTTTTCCTTAATTGTTTCAATCTATAAAATTAAATTAGATGTAGTCGTCAGATTTTTTCCTCAAATTGTTTAAATATCTATTCAAATTTCGCACTTTTATCCAAACCAAACGACCATAACCCGAGTCAAGATTTATATCTGATGAACTTGCAAGGTCAGACTGAATAAATTAATATATCCAGACATTTCACAGACATTTTCCCATTTTTTTTTAGTAGAGACACCTAACTATCAGATAAGATAAGTCACCTGTCGATAACACTTCTTACGTAACCGCCCCCCGTAACTACTGATAACATGAAGGAATTTTTACGTACGTTTTTTCGCTCTCTGTCAGAAAAATATTTGCTACCTGAAACCGCATTAGAAAAAAAATAAGAGGTAGGTATAGTAGTAAATTGGTAGCTATTTGACAGGTGTTGCATTTCGTTCGAATTATTATATCACATTTTGTGGAATAATTGGGTGGCTATTTATCACACATATCTGACTTTGATTTATCAGAAGAATTTTAGTGACTTTTTCTCGATACTTATAATGTATTTTTATGAACCCAAAAATTCAAATAAAATTTGATTACAGCATCCATAATAACAGTTAAAAAAAACGCCAAAATAAATTAATTTGTTGGTAACCAGCGAAAATGGAATGCTTGTGATTAAATTCTTGTTATCACAACGCTCACCATACAATATTTTATTATCATTATTTATCATTAATTTGTATAATGTTACAAATATTGTAAAACATAAAATAATAAAATATTAGCATTCCGTCATTGAATCGGAAACGATGTTGCCAACTTACCCTAACTATAAAAAGTGTAACATAACTAACATTAGTGTTTTTACAGAAAAAACATAACAAATGCATTTCTGTTAATTGCATATATCTAAAAAATTTGATTATTTATTTATTAATTATTACTAAGGCCCGCATAATTTTAGAAAACTACCTCAATTGGGTTGAGGGATCTAAAGACATCAGAGCCCTATTTATTACATACTCTGGTAGTATTACTAATCATATCTCTTACGAAAGTCAAAGGCTCCGTTTCACTCACAGATATCATGTTGGTAATAATAATATCACTTGTTACGCAATAATTAAAATTTTAATTAAAAATGTGCACTTTTCATTCCTAAATAATAAATTCAATTTTACTCTGATCAAGGGACTTAAAAAACAAAGTACAATTTTATAACTATACCTACTTTTTTTTTAATATTTCTCGTACGTTTGAACCAATAAAGTCAATTTTCGATTTTATGGTACATGAAAGAATAAATAAAAAACCTACATAACGAATTCTTCTCAAAATCGCATGTAAGTTCGACATCTCAGCTTTGTCAACCTGTATTATTATAATCTGATTAATTATTAAGACAAAATAAAGGTCAGTACGAGAAAAAATTTATATGCATCGAACCGGGGTTACTTTGACATAGTGTGAGGGGTTTTGTTAATGTAACTTTTTTGTTTGTTGCAATATTTTCTTGAAAAAATTAGTAACAGAACAATTATTGATCCTTATGCTTTAAAAACAAACTTAATATTTTGCCTTGAGGTCATAGTTTATTCAAAAAGAAAATTGAAAATTTGGTGTCAAAGAAACCCCGACTTCGGGTCTATTTTAACAGTCCCTTTAATACGTTGAAAATGAAAGTTATGCTAGCCTGGGAGATACTTTGACACCTTAGAACTAAAAATATGTAATAAATGATGTAAATAAATAAACTTTATTCACAATCACTAATGTAATATGCCGATACTAACCTTTTAAAGGTTGGGAAACACATCATTAAATCTCATGAGGAGCAATAATATTACTTCTCTTGGGCGGTAATATGCAGGATAGCCAACCTTAAAATTACAAAATACTGGGAATTTTTTCTTTTAAATTGTCAAGTTACGCATAATATTTTGCTAAATTAGTATTCAATTGCTTTGCAGTTTCTCTTACTTCACTGCCCCATTTCGACGATTTTATGTCAGATTCATACATTATTTCAATATTTTCTTTGACATTTCTGTAATGTCAAAAATCAACGCCATTTAGATGGCCTACCACGTTTGGACCTTAACTTTGTTAAAATTTTATTTTGCTCAAATTTTTGACTGAAAATAATGTGATAAGTCATTTTTTGGTTTGTTATTGCTTTTAAATGGCATAAAAATGAAATAAACATAATTTCGGTAGGTACCAATACTGAAAATGAAACAAAATTAGTAGCCCCATAACATGTCAAAGTAACCTGGGAAGTCAAAGTAACCCACCCCATTTTACTGTATAATGTTTACCTTTA